AGCATCATCAGCAACATCATCAGCATCAATCATCATTAATCGTCATCATCAAATCATCATCATTAGTGATGCTCGCCATCACCACCATCATCATCGTCATCATCAAATCATCATCATTAGTGATGCTCGCCATCACCACCATCATCATCGGCAGGGGGATGAGGGGGACGGGGGTATTTCTATACTTCTTGATTTTTCTGAGTTCTCAAAACAAGCACCTTGTTATTCCTGGTAGTTTGAAGAATTTCTCGGGACTCTGAGGGTTCGCCGGCGGTTTGTACGAATCTTCACTGGAATCAGACTGTTATATTCAGGATCCGTAGCTGTTCAACGCCAGAACGACGCTGGCCGGAGCCGGGGTGATGCCCTGTAACTTGCCGAAGGTGAGGGCATGAGGCCTTGTAGAGAGATCTGGGGATGCTATGCAGGGGCATCCTAAAGGACAGTTGGGGGTTGCTGACATAGGACGACACTGGTCGGAGCTGGAGTGAGTCGCATCGCCCTGTAACCTAGCAGAAAGGGGGCGTGAGGCCTAGATGAGTTTGTCAGAGAATAAGTCGGTTTAGCGAGTATTGGTATGATCTGTCGGAAATCCCTTAGATACTCGAGTGTCCGAAAAACTGCGGTGGATTTCAGGAGGTGTTCAGTGATCTTAAAAGGAGGCCAGTATTGCCGATATAGCATAGTCTTCTACATGGTTTCATTCTAATCATCATCATCATCATCATCATATGAGGGACGCTGAGCCCGGTTCTCAGCATGTTCGGTTCGGTCACTCCAGGTAGACTGTGAGGACCCCGGCCTCAAGCTTCTTGTTGATAATATCAGCGTTGGGCAATGGGCCCGTGTTTTGGAAAAGAAACAAAAAAAAAGGGGTAAGTTCTTGCTGAAAGTTGTCTTTTCCTTTTCAGTACAGTAGAGGCAGTTTGGGACTGACTTGGTACACCTATCTCGTTGGTCCTGGTCCACGACCTACTTGGGACCCTTCGGGACTCAGTGGGACCAGGCCCAATGGGACAGGACCTTTAGGACTCAAATCTGATGCCGTCAATGCATCTCTTTGTTGTGCTGAATCTGGGGGACTTACGACTAGTAAGGACATTCCTTTCAAGGGGATCTTGACTGGTCTTACTGCATGTTCTCACATACTGCCCCGTGTTTGGCTCGGCGACAGTCTTCACCCCTCGAAATCTCCATTGCTGCAGTTAGTTTTCTTCGGCTGACTTATTGTGGTGCATGTTCCTTGTCATATTAGACAAGAGGGGATCCCCAACTAATCTGATCGGGACCGTTCGTTAAGTCAATCCTCTCTTTTATTTGTTTTTATTTATTTATTTATTTATCTTTATTCTGCTGCGTGAATGTCATTCTCTAATTCCAAATGAATTGTCGCTCCGGCTAGGAGTTCTACCTTCTACTCTTTGTGATTTATTGTTTTTCTTTTATCTGAACTATTTATGTCCGGTATTGAGACGCGTGTGCAGAAAGCGGAAAGAGAGAGAAGGGAGAGAGGTGTTCTTTTCTAGAGTGTGACGAGGGGTAAGAGGAGTGTTCGTCCAAAAGTGAGCAAAGTGCGGACCCCACTTGAGAGATCTATTGACGCCCTATCCTCCGGCATGGCAGACATCACATCCGAGCAACGGAAGGCCATGCTGGACGCAGCGGCCGAGAGCGAGAAACCTTTCTTTCAGAAACTTTATGAGGACGCAATGCACAGAGAGAGGGAGGCAGAGGCAGCAGCCAAAGCCAAAAGTATTGCTACACAAGTGGCCCTCCTCGAGGTTCCGGAATCTAGTGATGACCGGTTCCAAGAGAAGCTAGCTGTTGTTGTAGCAGCCTTGGTTCAACTACGAACCTTGGAAGATCTTGAGTCTCGTGTGACAGCTCTAGAGCAGCAGAACCAAGAGCTTCATATTGAGATAGTCAGCCTCAAACAGTCCCAACTGTCTGCCCCCCGTCCTCCTAATCCACGACTTGTTGCCGTCCCAGTCTCTCACCTTAACACAGTCCTCATGCCAAGAGCAAGTGGAACTGTGACGAGCACAGGAACCGATGCCAGCTCCTCAAGCGGCAGCGCCGACAGTTTTGCACTGGTCTCAATCCCAAATGCAGGAACATTAGCACAAAACGCCGCAGTTCTTAAAGGCGTACAATACAGCAGTCCCGTAGTGGACAAGAGGGCGGCCACACTGTCCTCCAAGTACGACGGGAAGGGGGGCATCACCTCTTGGATCAGCTCTATGCGCTCATACTTCGAGGTACTGCGAACACCGCAGGAAGACCGAAGCATGATCATGGGCACACATATTGAGCCCGCCGTACGGAGCTTCATAGAACTCCAAGTTGTTACTGCAGGTTATGAGAGGATTGACCTGACTGAGTGGCTGAAAGTAACTCTTGTACGTATTCTTGAGGACTTCCTCATCGCGCAATATCAAGATAAGCACGTTGCGCTCAAGGCAAGGCTAAAGCCTGAGGCCCTTAAGGGCCAACAGTGGAGGACTTCCATGCAGGCTTTGGAGCAGCATTTGACTAGGTTGTTCACCACTCCAAACCTGGGATGGACTGACGTGTCTTGCATGGATGTAGTTATGGGCATGTCCCCTTAAGGCTATGTCTCCCAACTAGCACTCAAGGACCATACGACTTGGCGTGAGCTACTGCCGAATCTAGTCAATCTAGATGCCAAGCACCTCACCAGGTGTGCAAAGAACCTCACAATGCAAGCGGTACGGGAGCAACAACCAGCTTGCCCTGCATAAACATCGGGAGGCTGAGGATCAGTCCTATGCGGATGATCTGTCTCTAGATGACGATCTAGAGCCGGACTCCAACGTGGGCTGTTCTACATCAGCCCTTGAGTCTGACATGAATATTGAAGAGAAATGCAATGCCTTTAAAAAGACTGCTTCAAGGAAGGGGCCTAATCATGGTTCGGGTAAGGGGACTATAGCACACCTCCCCAAGAATTCAAAGATCCCTGAGAAACCGAAGGATGCTTCTACCAAGCCTTGGGAAGCCCTCCGCATTAGTCAAAAAGAATGGGAGAGAAGATCCAAACTGTGTGTGTGCTTGCATTGTCAAAAGCCTGGGCACGCTGTGCAGGAATGTTATCCTTTGCAGGGAAACACGCAAAGGGCGTAGAAGAGTCGTCAGCATTCTCTACAACAATGGAAGCTGAACAGTCAGTTGCAGGCCCCTCCAAGGACCCTGAATTTGATGAACAGCCTGCTCTTGAAGCCCGGACTGATGCTGAATACAAGGCTGTTGCAGTTCAAGTACTTTACACTGAGCCTTGGGAGGAGACTAAGGAAGTCAACTTCCACTCTCACCTGGAACATTGGCTGCAACTCAAGCAGCAACGCGTGTTCAAGGGAGTGTGGAATTGATCTTCCTTAAGCTGCTCATTAATCGTCGATACCTCCATGTGCTGATTGATAATGGCTCAACGACTAACTTTTTTTCTCCTAACGGGATTTGTAAGGCGGGTCTGGGAATGAAGCAAGTGGAATTGCAGAACCCTTGTCAGACCCAGGTAGGCAACCAAGAGGTTGTCACCTCAACACATGTTGTCAAAGGTGTGTGCGTCACTTTTGACAAGGATCACACTGTCACACATGAGTTGAACTTTTATGTCATGGACAAGTGTCCTTCCGACGCGGTAATTGGCTTGGGTTGGTTAAAGGCTCATTGTCCAAGGCCCACGTGGGCGGATACTTAGTTCGTGGTGCGTGATGCCAAGGGGAACGAGGGTAGCGCTCCATTGGACAATACACGCGAGTCCCCTATGACTTTTTTGAGTGCAAACAAATTCTGCAAATCAGTGCGCAGGCGCAAGGAAGTTGAGCATGTGCATGTAGCTTTTGTAAAGCCTCTCCATGTGCCTTCTACGTTTGCTGCATTTTCTACCTCGGAAAGTAATTCTACTTCTACTACCTCTACTTTTGTTCCATCTACTTCTGTTGTAAAAACATAGTCTACTTCTGATCCAAGTACGAGTTCGATTGTAATTGTTGTAAATTCTCAATCCGATTTTCTCTCTCCTGATGAGGATGATCCTCCACTGGAAGTCCCAACAAACATTCGCCGTCTATTAGATTGATTTCCTGAAGTTATGGTTGAACCTCGTGGAGTTCCCGAGCGTCCGATCAAACACAAGATCGAGACAATGGAAGAGAGTGTTCCTCCAAAGCGTTGCGTCTACCGTATGGGACAAGGCGAGTTAAAGGGGTTGAGAAGACAAATTCATGACATGATTGATCGTGGATGGATTAGGCCTAGTGAGTCTGAGTTCGGTGCACCTGTCATGTTTGTGCCGAAGAAAGAAGGCAAACTCCGAATGTGTATTGACTATCGTGGCCTAAGCCGTATCGCCCGAAAGAACGCTTATCCCTTGCCTCGTATAGATGATCTGCTGGATCCTGCAGGTGAGTACAAGGTCTTCTCCAAGATCGACCTCAAGTCTGGCTACCACCAGATTGAAGTTGATCCGAGCGACCAACACAAAACTGCATTCAAAACATGTGACGGGCTGTACGAATTCATCGTTATGCCCTTCGGTCTTACGAATGCACCAGCCACATTTCAGTGCATCATGGACAAGGTTTCCTGCCATCATCTCAACAGGTTTGTTGTTGTTTACCTTGACGACATCCTGATTTTCAGCAAGTCCATGGAAGAGCACGTCAAGCACCTTGAGGAGGTTTTGCAAGT